TTTTCATTGGATTCTACGTGCCCCCACTGGTCCACAGATGTTAAATGATGAATAGCGGCCAGGCGATTAGCCACGAAGGTGGAATACCTACTATCTGTATTTTTTATATAGTACAGTACTATCATAGAATCCGTCCAGAAGTGAGTCTTGTCAAACACCTGAGGAAGGTTCCTATTTAAAACTTCCCCCATTCTAGCACTCAATACTGCCGCTGCTAGTTCCAGTCTAGGCACAGTCACCTGTTTTATAGGTGCCACTCTAGACTTACTATAGAGTAGAACGCTGTATGGTGCTTGGTGCTTAGGGATGTTCCACGAGTAAGCTACCGCACCGTAACCAGATTCAGAGGCGTCACAAAATAAATGCAGCTCAATCGCCTTAAAGTTCTTTCTGTTTTCATTTATAATGCTTCGAGGAACACTGATCGTTCCGAGCCTCCGCACAAACGTGACCCATTCGTTCCACGAGGACACAACACTATCACTCGGAGGCTGGTCCCAACCGATACGCGTTTTACAAAGATTCTGTAAAGTTGTTTAGCAGGAAGGTATATTGGAGCTATCAGCCCAGTGGATCGAAAAGAGATGAAATGGTGGATAGTATTCCTCTCCTAGTCGGAGTTTTTTCCCCTGGATCAAAACGAAAATTAAAAACATCGTGTGTGGTGTCCCATTCAATCCCGAGGGCTCGATGTGTCGGCCCTTGATTCAGAGACATATCAACAATCGCTTCCATACTATCAGATTGCGGAAAAACTTTCCTTACAATTTCCGAGTTAGTCACCCATTTTTTCAACTTGAAACCTCCTCGAGCCATCAATTCATTTAGTTGTACCACAAAACTTTTCGCATCTTCATCATTGGGAAAGGATACTAGGCAATCATCCACATAAAAGTTGTTCAGTACCGATTCCCCTACGCTGTTATCATAGTCACTAGAGAACTTTTGAGCCGTCTTCATCAATGCAAAGTTTGCACAGAAGGGTGAGGATATTGCCCCGAAGGGATGTGATGTCATCTGATACTCCACCGGTTCCTTCTCGATATCACCCTTCGGCCACCAAAGGAAACGTAGCGCTCCACAATCGGGCTTCGAGACCTTTACTTGCATGAACATTTCTTCCACATCCGCGGAAACGGCAACCGGTTCCCTGCGGAAACGTAACAGGATCCCAACTAAACATGCTGTAGTATCTGGACCTTGGTAAAGAAGGTCATTCAAGGATTTACCAGCCACCTTAGCAGCACAATCCAATACCACTCTCACTCTGCTTGGTTTTCTGGGGTTAATCACTGCATGATGGGGCAAGTACCATTTTGGACGATAACCCGGATCGAGTTGCATACCTGGAACCACAACCGCATACCCTTTGTCAATCGTCTGCTGCATGGCACAAGTGTAGCTTTCCCGAAAGTCCTTATTGCATGTGAGTCTACGTCTTAGACTTTCTAATCTTCGTCTAGCTAGATCATAGCTACCAGAGACTACATTTCTCTCCACCCTCCAAGGTAAAGGGACAATCCAATGACCCTCGTCAAAATAAGTGTCGCGCTCCACTATGCCAACTGCTTTCAAGTCATTTAAAGATAATGCTTTATCGGAGGAGTGCACGTCAGCAAATTCGTAGTTATATATTTCCTTTAACTGCTCTACAGGGTTGTCAGATTGAGAAATATAATTTACCATCCTTTTACTGTTTTTGCTAAAGCCTGCCGGTCCAAACAGAACCCATCCTAGGAGTGTCCTAATAGCATATGGGCTTTTTCTTCCACCCAATCTTTGATCTAGGACCCAATGCGCTTCAGGCACGTCACAACCAATAAGCAACATAACTTCACCATCCACTGATTCTGTCCAAGGTAAGTCAATAAGATGAGGCCATTTCTTGGCGCTGTCCTTCACAGGTACTCTTGGTCGATGCACCGGCAAATCATCTACTACAACAGCCTGTTCAATACATATACATTCGTCTCCGTTCAATGAGTAAGCTTTAAAGGCTTTAGTGGTCGATCTGCTTAACTTATTTCCGTTGACCGTTTTGATGGTAATCGACGCCCATCTGACGATAATCCTAAACGTCGTACGGTACTTAACTTGATTAGGGTCGTATCTGAGCCATTGTCTAGAAACGCATATCCAGAAACTTCCTTGTCCCCAGCTCTAAGGCGTACAGGGATCAGACCCAGAAACACATCCTCTTTTAATGACTCTGTGTACCCACAATGACTTTCTTTTAAGCACTCACTCGAACCACTCTGAACTCGGATGGTTTTATGCAACGATGGGTGATGCCGATCCCGACAACCTTCGACAGTACACACAACACGATCTTTACAATCCACAGATCTGTGGCCCTTCGAAGACAACAATAACACAAGCCCTTTTCTTTGCTTTCGCCCACTTATCGTTGACTGCTAAGGTTGAAAACTGGAAACATTTATCCACACTATGAGTTTCTCCGCATATAACACAAGGTGACTTGCTAACGATTTTACCGAACGACAGACCTTGTGTGGAACAGGCCACCTTGCTTGCAACTCGTTTACTAGCAGTTGCAATCTGTCCGAATCTGCTAAGCAATATTTCCGCTCTAGATGACACAAATTCTGTTAACTCAGCAAAAGTAGGCTCTCTTCCATTTGCTGTTACCTTTCCTACTGTCTCAGCCCATCTCATCTGTAAAACCGTGGGCAACTTCTTTACTATACTTTCTATTGTCACTACGGAGTTGAGATCCGCTGAATAATCCATTTGTTCTAAGGTTATAGAACAGTTTTCCATCTTTATCGCTAGTCTAGATAGACTTTCTGCGTCATTATGCGCAATATCAGGACCTTCAGTTAAATCTTTCATCAAAGCCCGACATATTTCGTGTGTTCTACCGAACAACCGTTTCAATATATCGCACGCTCTACGATAACCCGACGATGGTGGAAGCATTATGCATTCCTCTATGGCCTCTCGAGCCTTGCCTTTACAATAATGTAACAAGTACAAGAGCCGTTGACCATCGTCTTCAACCTTGGAAACCACATATAAATCAAATTGTCTAATAAATTTCCAGTATTTAGCTGGTTGTCCATCAAAGGTACTTAGCTCTACCTTTGGAAGTTCAAGACCTACACTAAGAGATTCCAAGGTCACTTCCTTCCTCTTCGTTCCCGGATAATCTAGCAGTTTTGACTTTTCTAGAGACTTTGTCCTAAGGTCATGAGAAGGACTTACAAACCTGTGAACGTGCTCCTTTTCTCTGTCATCACAGTTAGAAACAGAAGATAACTTACTACACGTGCTTTCGTTCAGCCTTAACGACCCAAACTCTCTCTGAAAGCACAGTAGTTGTTTCCTCTGTCTATCTTTCAAGTCTCTCATTTCTAATAACTGTCTTTCAAACAACTCTGCTAAGGTAACCCTAGAGCTAACTTTACTACGTCTACTTACTAAACTAACATTAGAGCCATGACATGAAAATGCATCTAATTTGACTTGCCGTACATCTGGAGGTGCATCCGGTTGCATTTCTCCGTGGCCCAATGCCAAGTTTTCGTTGACCTTATTGCGCTTTCCAGGCATTCCAGAATTTGTCACTTGAGATTACTGTTCGTTTGAGAACTGTAACGACCGAACAGCCAATATTCGGTTGGAACTACGGACTGACGAACCCAAAATTTATTCGATTAGACCAGACCAAGTTCCTCTGTATAGCCCACAACGCGTCTTTGAGATACTCGTATTATATTATATCAAAACACAAACTCTGTGCTCAATATAAACGGTTCTAATTAAGAAAACAGAACAAATTACATCAAAAATACAAAATACCTCAAACGGTACAGCCTGTGCTATACAGTCAGAAGTTTCTCTAACGCAAAGTAGCGCGCTAAACAATGAAAGAGACAGTTAATACTAAAGGGTTTGATACCTGAGAATCAATACAAATATTCCCAATAAGATGGGATCAAATATCTATCTGCAGGGATTGCAGCAATTCTCCCAAGCAGACAGTCAGAAGGTTAACAGTCACAAACTGAACCACGCCGTGACCTTGAGCTTAGTCAAACACAACCTTACTGTCAATGGTCCGGCAACATGCAATAGAAAATTAGGTAACAAAAATAAGTCTTTAATCAAAATCACATAATAAAGGCTCAAACGGGGAAGACTGAAGAACAAAAGACATGGTTAAACGAGATCGAAACAAAGGTTGGAATACACAAAAGGGAGAAGGAACAAATAAATGAAAATACTGTTCAACAAAGAAGCTGCAGAGGGATTTTCACTGTTCTCTTTCCGTTACAGTCGTTCAAACAAAGTTTTCGATAGTACTTGGAAACCAAGGATGATAAGATCACTAAATCGGAGATATACTCAGGAGATAACTCAGATCGTCCTCGGTCGCTGATTGGGCGCAGGTGAACTTAACAAATGTTACTTAAATTTGCGCATTGAATTACAGTAACCCTCAAGGAATTATGGGCAAGTATCTCCTAAAATGCTAATACGTAAACCTGTGATGGTATATGAAAAATGAAAACACGTTTAGTTAACGAGTGCCGTATCATAAAATCGAAATGCAGGGCAGTCAATGTAACTGACATCGGAATATTTCATACAATGTCTAGTCAATGTCATTTGAAAAGGCAGAGGCATTCACTGAGTAAACTTGCTAGCCATCCAGACAAACTTTGTACTGTTCTTTTAATAAATGAAATCGAAACCTTGGGTTTTATGATGTTTTCCTGAATATACGTGATCGTAAATAAAAACGTATACAGGCTACGCATTTTTTATTCTTCAAGCATAGTTTAATTTTCCACATGAAGCACGAAGTCAACTTTTTGCGGATGCAGGAAAAAATTTCAAAGCTTCATTACCACAACTCTTAATCTTGACATGGAATGACTAAGGTTCATAAGTTTGTTTCAGTGAACCAAGATGCGGTACTCTTCCAACTAGAAACACTTTTAAATGTGACGGTGTTTTCGTAATTAATTAGGACGATGTTAGAGATCCTTTTATCCCCTGGCTCTCTTAGCTGGGGGAGAGGGCTTTTGTGCATTTTCTCTGCATTCGTTGTTGGACTTAGTGGTGTAGTCCCGCTTCTATTTCTCCCACTAGATAGCATTTGTCCTAGAAAAGGTAACTATGTATTACCGTCATTTCTTCCAAAACCAGATGTCATTTCTCTCAATAGGTGGCTTAGTTATGCTACTGGAAGTCTTCTTGGTGAAGTTTTTATCCATCTTCTGCCAGAATCCTGGATTAACAGTAAATGTGGCTAAATGTTAACGACACAAACCAACAATATTGTTGGCTATTTATAATTCGTAGGTGACATCGACACATTTCAGATTCCTGGATTTTGGATACTCAGTGGACTTCTGCTGTTTTTTATTATCGAGAAGTTATGTATTAATGATTCTACTGAAAAAGAGGTACGTCTTTCACTATACATGTGGTGAAGTACTTCATCTTAACAATGTAAACCTATTTGTTCCTTTGTCTTACTTTTGTCTCCAAAATAAAATTGTTGTTCTTATAGTACAGTTGTGGATAATGACTCGTTCTGGGGTTAGTTTCGACATCGGCCTCTTGCTTGTAACGGCTTTCCATGTGGTTTTAACCGCTGGTCTATCACGATTTTTAAGATATTTTACATTGGTACCAACTTCACTTTATTAGCATGTCGTTAGATGTTGGTGGAGGTCATACTCTTAAACCAAAGATCAGTGCCAAAAATCGGACTTCGGCAAAAAACAGACCCTTACATTTTGATCGAGACAATGTTTAGATGTGTTTGTATCACCAGAAAGATTTTCATGTGAACGTACATCCCTTCTAGTCATAACTTCAAAACCGACAGTATTTGAATACATGAACCGTATTCAAGTTTGCTCAGCCCCTTGTATACAGTTTTAAATTCGACTTCATTATTACAAGCTGTCAAAATAAATGTAATAATTGAGGAAACTTCTGATTAGAACCTGTCTTCGTTTCATGTTATCTGTAGTTGTAAAAGACTGATACAACCTCAGACGTTTGACTATGATGTGTGATGACGTAACACTATTTAGTTTTTCTTTATCCAGTATAAACTACTATCTCCCTATTAGTCAAACAGTTCTACATATAAATTATAATTAAACACCAGTAAAAATGATCCACAGAATTACTCGTACCATTAAGAAAATCAATCTAACTATTGTTCTTTATCAGTTGCTACTTTCTAACATTATGTGTTGCCAGGATCTCCCCCTGAACACCGTCAGAGACTATATTAAGAGCAGATTTACAGACAAACTATCCCCATATAAGCGAAATTATATAAAAGAAATACAAACCAGTGATCGGCTTTCATGTCACGCAAATAGAACAATAAATGACACGAAGTAGAACCTACCCGTCAAATGCGTTTTGATTGATTACCATTAGGGCGTAACAGTCACGTTCCAAGACTCCTAAATCAAAGCTAGCGTGTGAACTTTGTAATATTTAAACAAGATGACCTTATGAAGAGCTAGTCGAAATAAGTATGATACTGTCCTTACTTACGCCTGTTACTCCTCGTGGAGGAGCATAGGCCGCACACCAGCATTCTTCATCCAGCTCTGTTCTGTGCAATCCTTCAGGTTTCTTTCAGTTACTATTCATCCTTTTCGTGTCTGCTTACGATTCCCGACGTAGTGTGTTCTCCGGCCTTCCTCTTTTATGTTTCCCTTTAAGATTCCAAGTTAGTGCTCGCACTGTCATGTAGTTTGATGATTTCTGTAGTGTATGTACTATCCACTTCCAGAACCTTTCCCTAATTTCCTCTTCATTTGGTAGTTGGTTTTTCCTCTCCCACAGTAAGTTGTTGCTCATGGTATTCGGTCAACGGATATTGAGTATCTTGCGTAGACAACTGTTTATAAATATTTGTACCTTTTTGATGATGGTTGTGGTAGTTCTCCAAGTCTCAGCTCCGTACAATAGAACTTTCTTGACGTTTGTATTGAAAATTCTGACTTTGATATTGGTTGACAGTTGTTTTAAGTTATATATGTCGTTCAACTGTAAGGATGCTGTCCTTACTTTGTCAAACCTTACCTTTACGTCCGTATCGAATCCTCCTTGTTTACCGATGATGCTGCCCAGATATGTGAAGTTTTCCACCTCTCCTAGAGTTTTTCGATCAAGTGTTGTTGGGTTGGTGTTCTTCGTGATGTATTTGAAGATCTTGGTTCTTCTCTTGTGTATGTTGAGGCCTACTGATGCAGAGGCTTCTGCTAAACTGGTTGTCTTGACCTGCATTTGTTGGTATGTATGGCATAGAAGTGTTAGGTCGTCTAGCTACATGAAGGCTTTCCATCGTATTCCGTGCTTCCCTTCAGATGTGGAGGTCTTTGTAATCCAGTATGTAGTAAGTAGTTACGGTTTATTAGACTCTATTAAGGTTATTCGTCGGGCTTGGTTATAAATTAGACAGAAGGAAACACATTCAGCATATAAATCTGTTTTGTTTTCAAGCTTTTGTTAATGGCGTTTGTTACTACTAATTTTGGAGTAATTAACATTTTATTAAGCTCACCTTAATTAGTTAAATTAGTCGATTATCACACATGGAATATATAGTAGATAACAGTTTTCTAAATTTCCCTTGTGTATAACTCAGTCAACCATAATTTTCAGTCCACAGGGAATCGATTCTGATTAATTAGAATGTTTCTAAACAGGGTTAAACAACTGATCATTTGAGCCATAATAACCACTGCTATATGTCATTATTTCTGAGGTTTTCGGATATTCTGATCCCAACTTTGCGTTATGACTGATATGAATTCCAATATCTTCTGGATTTTGCTTATTTTTCCACTATTATCAAACCATGTTCGTGGTCTCGTGCAGATAATGATATGGCCTTTTATCTGAGATCTCGCTTGAATTTATTTGTGGTGTTTGTGCTAGCTACTCTGTCAGTTGGTTTCATGTGATTATTACCAAGCGTTTTTTTCACCCTCAGTTCAACTGATTGATTCAGGAAGACTAAAGTTTGCATTATTACTTTTCCAGGTCGAAGGTTATCTCAATCTTGCTGCCAATATAATTGATAACTTTACTCATGGTGTGGCTATTGCTGGAAGTTATCTTGTATCTCTTCGTGTAAGTTGACCTTTACGAAGTTTTTAGCTTTCTGTAACCTGTGCGTAAAAGTGAGAATGACGAAAAAACTTAATTTATGAACGTTTTGGGTATGTTTATGCTCCAAGCGTCTTTAACTTCTTGATCCAGCTATATGTACTTTTAAATATTCCTTAAAGATAAATTTCCTTTCTATCTTTTATTACAACCGAGGTAGATCATAAAACGTACATTTGTTTTTGAATGATACGATTGCCTTTGTGTTTTTGATCCAGATAAGAGATAGTATAGCTTCAGAGTTCATCTTCACTAGTCTCCAAAATTTTTATAAATTGTGTTGCTGCTGGACCAGTGAGTAATGAAATAATTGTCGTAAATGAGCAGCATATCATTTTCAACATGGTTAATTACGACTAATGATAGGATTTTGGTTTTCCGCTTACCTGTTATATGACAACACACTATGTGACAACGGCTACTCTTGGTTCATCTCTCGCCATTCCATCCTTCTAATATGATTGATATAAATATTCCATTCATAGTTATCTGATATGGGTATCACGATTGGGCATCAGAACTCTCACACAAATATAGAAATTTTTGATTAAACAGTTGTAATAACAAAACGTTGATCACAGGTAAATGAAATATATTTAAAGCAGAGATAGATGGTGGTTAGCAATGGAATTCAGTTTATTTATTATTATTAATATTTATTTTAAAACAGATCATGGTACAAAGCAGCACCAAAATATATATGCGTCCCACAATAACAATGAGGATATGAAGAGATAGAGATTATAAAGTCCACATAAGAAAAAGGAGAACAATAACGAACAGAAATTAGTGTATGAAAGTGAAATAATAATAAAACTGGAAAAAGTAGTTCAGTTAAGAGAAATATGATCGGTTACAGTTAAATAAGTTACTCCCACTTATATGAAGAAAATAAAAGAAAGTTTCAGCAGAATCGTCGCTGGCTTCTATCCTGGGCCATACCAGATAACGTCTCAAGCCACTGTGTTGCATCATCCCTAGGATCCCGACCAGGGAGTCCTGAAGGATCAATAAAAGCCAGTCCTGTACAGCTTTCTTTTATAATACAACACCATATCATACACTGACCATTTCTCCACTTATTCCAACCAGTCCCAGCGTCGGCAAATAATACACGACGTAGAACTCTCCGAGACGGCATTCGCAGAACATATCCACACCACCGGATGTGATGCTTCAAGATAGAGACACTAACTGAATTACCGTCGCTTTGCCCAAACACGTAGTGCTGAAATTTCAAATTACTAACATGGTGTTGACACTGGATGTCAGCATCCTTCGGAGACAACGATGATTAATGACAGAGAGTCGCATAACACAGTCAACTCAGAGAGGCTCGGTTTCACAAACATAGAGCAAAACCGCTCTCACCGACGCGTTGTAGATCAGACCTTTTTCAGCTACACTAACATCGCGAAGGCGCCAAAGATGGCCCAGATTGGCATAAGTACAACGCTGTTCTAACACTTGGTGTAGGGTGAAGATATGACCAATACATCCTCCACCAGAACGAAAACCAGCCTGCTTCTCGGTTTCAACAATCTACGAGGTACAACGAAGCCAATGGTTTGGATGCAGTCGGAAATAGACTTATCTCCCCAGACAGGTGTTACAGAAACGACGTGAACCTTTTTAAAGATGAGTGTGGTGTAGGTTATTTAAATCCATATAAGTAGTATATAACGGTGGTCAGGCATAGAATGTATTTCAGCAGAAGATTGATAAGGAAAGAACGGAAACGGAACGCAGTTGGTATAAAAATGCATGAACAATGAAATCTGAGACAACTGAATAATATTTACTAAAGAACAGTCAAATTTGAGACGATTGTTTGATATTTTGCAAATTAACTATTTACTGTATGGTTCTCGTTTATAGTCAAACTCGAGGTCACCTGGAGTAGACCGATGGGCTTCAATGGGTTGTAAGGAACCTGAAGAAACCCAGTGCTTATAAGCGGGATAGTTTACGAAGTCGCAAGCGATTTTACCATTTTCATGGCGTTGTGCAATTACAACCAGTGCTCACCTATACTTTTCGATGAGATGGTAGTTAGCCTTGAACCTGGCTCGGTTTGATATTTAGTTGTAACAGAATCCGCAAACAATTTACTGACATCGATCCGTTTAGGATGATGAATTTGCTAACCACTGAAACGTAAAGTGAGGTTCGCACAAACGAGAGAATGATCAGTTTTCAAATAGGTACTCCAAAAGGAGCTGTAGTCTCGTATACAACCACGCCAGCGGTAGCTGATCGCGTTTCTCACCGATTTCGCACTTTGATGGAACTTTCTAATCTAACAGCACATAAATGACTGTTAATTGAAACCCATCCGATCATGCTGCCTCAGCTCCAGCTCTTAGCGCAACACCAACAAATATGACACAGGTCCCCGGATAAACGCACGTGAAACGAGCCTTTCAAGACTACAGATGGAGAGCGAATTTGCAGTACTTTACTAGAGTCTTGAATAGGGGTCTCGGATAGACAACAGACGTCGATATTAAGACTTTCTAAATACAGCCAACCCTATCTGTTGTTCTATCTACAATAATGTGCGACCTTGAAGAGAGCCAGTTTGAATGGTATACCTCGTTTCAGAAAGACTCAGTATTCGTATTCAGTGGTAGTATTCAACTTTTGACCAGTCAGTGCCTCGAGATTGTTTAGATAGGACAGGGCTCCCACCATAGGCGATCTGCTGTATAAGTTGATAAAATAAGAATACGCAAAGTGAGAGTAGAAGAGAGTACATAAGTGACGTAGTGTATAAAAAAATAAAAATGAATGTGAATTGTCTGAATTTTAATTGAAGCAAGAATAGTATTTCCGGTAGTAATTGTCATTTCATTTCATTTGTATGTGGTACTGCCCTGGTGCCCAGACTAAAGCAGGTGGCTTTTTAGGGGGCCACACTCGGAGCCATCGACCTAAAGGTCTGACCCACAAGACAGTGGAGCAACGTCAGATGATACAGTCCTATGGTAGCCGGTGACTAACAACTGGTTCATACGCCATTTGTTCAATCAGGGTCGCGGTGCCCATGTGCACCATTGGTTTGGAATCAGGGTTTTCCGATTCCCCTCCGTATCCACCAACCCGGTTAGAGCGCCAGACATTCTCTTTTCGTCCTCCCAACTTCGTAAGCAACACCCACACCCTGTAAAGACAGTGAGTACGACTTCCCTGTCAGTGGCTGTATACACGTGGTCATATGAGAACATTTTGAGAGGGAGAGCTGACTTTCTCCACCCTCGACTATCCCAGGGCATTTGGGCCGGAACGTACGTTTCATCGTATTTGTGACTCATCAGCTGGATGAACAGTTGAATTCAAACAATCAATACAAAAATGAATTGAAATCTATTTAACTTACTATCATTTCACTCTTCGTTTTAATATATCAGAGTTTCTGAAATATTTCCAATTCATATGTGTATATATTTACTTAGTAAATGCCATCAGTTCAAATAAATGGCAGTATTTTATTCTGACTATCTCAGTTAGGGATTTTGACGACTACCTGCATATTAGTCCATGAAGTTCCTCATGAAATGGCTGATTTTGTAATTTTACTCCGAAGTGGGTTCAGTCGATGGGAAGCTGCTAAAGCTCAAGTAAGTCAAGATTTTCACCAACTTTTGTAGTATCATTAAAATACAAATTTCTTATGGTTTCTCATTCGAGTTAATTATCAGTTATTCCAATTGGCTTCAGTTTGTCACTTAATTCGTTATTGACCAACGAATAGACGCGTACTCACTACAATACAAAGCATTAGTTCTAGTCTTTATTTTTTTTAAACCGTGAAGTAGATAATATCACTTACAAAAGAAAATGAATTATGAAATTGAAATAAAAACTTATTGGGCCCTTACAGCAAATGCAAAAGAGTAATTGACATGAGTTATATTAACTGAATGAGAATTTTGTAATTTCACAAAACTTTAATATTTAGTTCTTCTACGTGAGCACCTCAAAGTTACAATCTCTTGATATTATATTCGAAATATCCTTACACTGTTTGACCAACAGGTTAACAGTCGTCCAATATCAGATCAAAATATTTGGATAAAACCAACAGAATCGCTATTACAAAATTTTAATGTGTGTAATATGTAGTTGTAAAACCTGTCAAAGTTGTTTTTTATAACATTAGATGAATAAAATTTATTATGAATTCTTAAGATTGCGATCACGTATGTTTTCAATCAAACGAATCAGAGACTAATTCAACCCTCGGTTACTTGTAAACATTGTCCAATTTAGTTATAACTTACCTTTTGGAATGAATTCAAGACACAATATTTTAGTCATTAACATTCAGGAATGTATTTAAGGACTTTAATTTCAATGTTATTACTTCTGTGCTATACCCCAGGCTTCCTAAAAGGTAACTACAGTTAACTCAAAATTATTATGCTGATTATCTATTTGCAGTTACCTTGCCCAACACTGTTTTCAAACCTTAGGAGCGAGTAAGAAAAACAAAGAGTAATCAAGTAATAAGATGGCGGAAGATAAAGCTAGATTTTTCCATCAAAGTAACATCATCTTACTAGTTATGACCTATTACATTTGGCCAAAGACAACATGCGACTAGTTGCTTTAAGACGTTTCCAGCCAAACTTAATGGGGATCTTGTTTCAATTTTATTTTCTATAGTTGTGAAATAATGAAGTGTATTTTTCAATATGATACTGGGCAAATGTTGTCTTTACCCACATATTGTCACCACCAGTTAAACGAAATGTCAAACTGTGAACCCTCTACTTTTCTCACTATCTTTAAGTTCAAGAAATTTGTCCTGTTTTAGATTTCATGCCAGCAGGTGAATTTTAAATCTGGATGAACTAAACTGAGGTACCCAGTTAATTGACCAACCTGATCTCTGTTACTACACATGATTAAAACGCCGTCATACGTAGAGCTAAACTAAAATGACTGATACAATGAGTAGATGTGACCATTCAGATGTTTATGCCAGTTTCTAAACAGCATAGCACAGTGAGGAAAATGGTCGTTTAGTATACCCAAAATATTTGTATTACCTTATTCAAGTTAGATATTTTAAGTCTTAGGTTCTCATAATCACTGCATATACCATAGCCAACGCCAACTTCAAATAAAAGTGGCCTTTTGGAATTTTTACGAAGATACTAAATCAGTTACTTCTACTGCTTTAAATTGGAATACATGACTCAGCTCAAAAATGCAGACCTAACTATATTCATGTTAATCTGAAGTAATCCTTGTGTTAATTGTAAATCGTCAATTTAAGTGTTTATGGATATTTGCAGGATTGTGTATGTCAGATCAATACTGTTAGTCACTTAACCGAATTAAGTGTGAAGGGCTATTTTAGTCCCTCAATAAATAATTCCTGTCATTATTTCTTTCCTAACGAAAATGTATCTGTGGCTCATTTTATTAAGGCGTTTACACATATTTGAACTACGCTATTATAGGTAGCCATTAGTTTCTTCAGTCCTTCCACACAAGTGTTTCAAGATTTGAGTACAAAAACATATGGGTCATTATTGAGTTTTATTAGGTTATTCTTAAAAACAATTAACTTGCTAATAAATTCTTTATAAACTAACGTTTTTTGTTTCAGTTAGCTACAGCATCTGGATCTACTTTAGGTGCCATTCTTAACACTTTGTGCTAATGCTTCAGTAACCGGTAAGTATTAATGCAGCCAGAATGATTCACTAAATTCCAATTATTTTAAACTTTTCTTAACTCCTAGAGATAGTTTGGAAGTAATTTGTAATTCCTCCGCACCGTTTACAATTTATACTTCATTTATTCAATAACTGCTCTACGAAAAAATTCAATAAATTGATAAAATCAGATTTTAATCATCAACGTTTTTTATGACTTTTGCTTTCCGACATGCTGAATATTTTGTTTGTCAGGATTTCGTTGAGCTTACTTGTTTGTAATTCTGACTCACTGAGAAAATTAATGAACGATAACATAGGAAAGTTAATATAATTTCTATTTTTAGTCTACTTAGAGAATCATCATATTGATGAAGAACTGTCTTCTCCAATTTTTCATATCTTTTAGTTGGGACTGTTAGTAGTTTATAATGACTAATTATTAATTCATTGCCAACTGTTTGGTAATCTGCTTCTAAAATATTCAGTAAATATTCCACTTTCTAACCCAATCACATTTTACGAGTTATATAGTTTAGAATTTTAATTCATGATACATTATTAATTAGTAGTCTATGTGTTTGGATTTTATCCATTAGATTACAACTCAGGCCTTTCTCTCCTATTCTAGTCTGAAGAGCTGACAAATATCACTGATGTTCACATTAATAGGTTTAACGTAATATCTTGCGAAGTACAAAACACCTAAAAGAACTAGACTATATAGTTGAATATGTGGCCAAATGATGATATTCACAGACAACAATTTAGCAACCAGTACTGTAGTGAACAAGAACACCAGTGAGGAGAATCGAATGTATTTGACACGAAATTACAGGACTTGTTAATTAAATCTAATAATCATAAAGTAAATGCTTAATTTGCAAAATGTCCACCAATTGTCCAAAATGACCCAGACTTCATTTTTCTCGCATTTTCATACAAATTTCATCCTGTTTCATTCTTTATTGTTCCATCCTCTTGTCTTTCTGCTGTCAGACTTTCTGTTCGCGACTAACATCATATACTACTTATGTCAATATAAGTAGTACACACCACAGTACCATCCGAATTCTAAAATTCAAAACATTTCAGTGTCATTACATTAACTGAGCTGGATAGTTCAATCGTAAAAGTTTTCGTTGTCTTATTAGAAAGTACCAACTCAAAAAAAAGTTTATGTTGATAACATCATAAAGTGAAGAAAATGCGAGCTTCACAATTGTACTATTTCGCTCAAAAATTACAATTCATCAAAAACTTCCTACCAACTTTGTTCACCAACTTAAGATCAAGAAATGTAATACAATATAAATTAAATCAATTATTCTTAACAATTCTACCTTGTCTTAGTCGATTCTGGACAACCAACAAAACATTCTATATAAATTACATTGAAAAACTATCTTAAGATATTCACTTGATATTGTTTGGTTTGTATCTTCCCATTAAGGTTTAAGACGGTAATTGATCAGTCTGTTATTGGCATATGTGCATACTGTGCGTATACCTCGATATCAACTTAATTCACAAGCTATTTGTAAGCAACTATGGATAGTGGCTAGCAGCGAAATCCAAGACGCACGTTTCGTCCTATTTGGGACTCGTCAGCTGGATGTACCTGCATCTCAGAGAGTTGATGTTCACTCTGAGACTCGAACCCAGTACCATTCGCTTCAAACGCCATCGCGTTATCTTAAGATATGCATATACATGTACAGTAAATTCATTTGTTTAATGAATTTTTATATAAATTCACAGAACATTAATGTCTGTTTAAATTGAATTAATCTGATATAAGTTTTATTTGAAATTTCTCAATTCCAATTCTATTGTAAACAATATGTTCTTATGAATAATGAACAAAATATCCAGTTTTTATGATTGTTATTGTTGATAATAATAATACTAGACTTGATTATTGCTACATATTATATACATGAATAAAATAATCTATAAAGTATATGAAGGCCATATTCAATACACTATACATATACATATATGGTCTATACCAGTTACAATGATAATAATTCATGATAAATAACGACCAAAATTAAGTATCCTTTTTAGATCGTTGGCTACAATCAGTTTATTTAAACTGTGATTAGCTTAATGACACTTGATTATGTTAAATAGACTGTTGTAACTAATGTTTAGATTTACGTTGTGTAAGATAGAGAAATAGTATTATTTTATAGTTTTTATATAAATTTAACTGTTTGTTATAAGTACGGTTTTTTAAGCAGAGTTAAATGTGTTGGCTGACAATGGTATCCAAAACACATAGTTCGTCTTATTGTGGGTTCGTCAACTGGAGGTATTTGTCAAGTTCCAGTATTGATGTTCACACCAGGGTTCGAACCCATTATCTTTCGCTTCCAATGAACAACGTCTTATGCATTTAGCTACCAAGCCTAGATAGCCATTGGCTTGTACAATGAGTAATAATTTTAATTTAATTTGTATTGGTTGTTCTAATCTTCTCATTAATATTATGAACTGCAGTCGATCAGTCTTCATCATACTTAATGACAATATCGCGACAATCCTCAGATGATGCATATATCCCAAACGAGACCGATCTATTGCAATCCATAGCATCAATGGGATTATTCAAATAACCGATACAAATAATTTGTGAATTTAATTATTTATAAAAATTGTATTCAAAATAATTTCAGCAGTTGAAGTCTTAATAACTTCAACATTGCGTACAGCAAACTTGTTTGAACTTCTTCAGGGTAATAATCGAGCTATTCGTTCAAAGTATGACGAATATTCAGACTTGTATATATTAGTGCAAATGTACGGAACTTGAAAACATTGATATTAGTTCATAGAAAGTTGGAATGTATTACCATAAATTCTATATTTTTATCCTGAAAACTTGATAGAGTGACACGTGAACATATTAAAGTAGAACCTGGCACAAAGAGTGCCTATAATAAATCTGAGGTCCTGAAGTACCTAAAACTCCTGCGCACAATTTAAGCAAATATCCCTGTGCAAAAAGTAACGGCGAATTAAGAATATTTATGTAAATTATTATAGTTCAAATGAAAAAAATAACTAAGGTATATTTTAATCCATTTTTGTATTGGTTGTTTGAATCTTTCTATTAATGTTTAGGATTGCTAAACATATATTTTATTTATCGAAAGGTATATTTTATTGTATAAGTAAACTAGGAAAGAAAGCTTCCACAGGTTCCACATTGAGTTTGATTTCGAAACATAACTGGAGTCAACTCAAAGCAATTAGTAGCATGGTCTCTGTGATCGAATGTAATAGGTTATAATTCGTTAGATGATGTCACTCTGATGGAAAAATCTAGCTTTCTCTTACGCCATCTCATTATTTGACTTCTCTTTGTCTTTCCTACTCATTCTGATGTAACAAACAACACTGTCTATGGTGATCATATAAATGTTGTACGTAAAACGTTCTCAAATCACCGAAACCAGTGTTTTAAACTACTTTCAACAATTAAATATTGATCCCGATAAGCTGAAACACTTTTCGCTGTACCTTAGAACTATTTACCCGACGTAGTGTCCAAATTGGACCATCTCTTATGAGACAACTACATTTGAAAATCTTCAGTTTGGAGTATAGATTTCACATTCACTAGAAGTACTTCCTGCACCAAATCTTTATAACCAAACTAACATCGCAATAATAATACAGATTAGCACAACTTTGTCTGATTTATAGTATAAAGGATTTTATTTCACTAGTCATACTATCACAATTACTTACACAACTGTTTTCAAAGATGCTCACAGGTTCCGGACACTTTTAATCTTGTAATTTGATCAACCAATTATAGTGCTGACATCAAGTAGAACAAGTGCTGTTTAATTCGTTTGTTTGCCATTTCATATTTCGATGAAATTTTCCTGAAACTTAAGGTTGAAAAGTCACTTTCATTATCACAGGTTCTGGATTTTTTAGACAACTCAACTAACTGACGCGTCCTTACTCGATCTCTGCTTATTTTTTATACATTTATATAAGCGTGATATTGTTACTTTTGCTAACTAAATGAATGTCTCCCTAATATATATATTGATGAAGCACCTTAAAATGCTTAATTTATTAGTTTTTCGCAGTATTTCAACATTTAAATAGAATATAATAACCCAATTTATATTAAGTAACTAAATAATCCTAAATAGAACAGATTTTAATGTATAATTTTCGGAATTGTCATAGCATCTGGGTTTCATTATTGTTGATGGTCATCATTTGTGTGGACTGGGTTTCTACCTGGATACCCAAAAACAAAGCAGTTTGTTAATTGGTGAGCTACTTTTTATACTTCTGCCATTGAACTCAAATTTATTTTATATATGCATCAGTAAGCTTATTATAAGTACTGGAAACTATAAACATTAACTACATCTGATAACTAAGATAAATAATTCAAAAGTTAAGGAAAGGCTTTTAATTTCTCCCGTATTTCTACCATAATTTGTACTTTTCCGATATATTCCATATGTACTGTACTTTGGTGATACTGATGGAAAGCATTGAAATACAGTGTTAAGTTCTTGTCTGTGATCCAACACATTTGCTATATATAATATAAACCAACTATTTTTGATAGTAATCTGATCTATTATCTAATAATACGCTAATCAATGTTATCATTATCTATATATACTTCATAGTCTATTTATTTATTTGGAATTTTCGATAATGTGATTTTCTTCAACTTTACAGGTTGTACAACAAAATGGATACTTCCATTTACTGCCGGTGGCTTTCTATACATTGCATTGGTTTCTCTTCTGCCTGATATTTTAAAAGAATTATCATTTAAGTAAGTTGTAGAAACTTTATAGTTTCAAACTAATGAAGAATATTTGAACGAACAATTGTTTTCAATAACTTCATCATCAGGCTCTACAGTTATAAGTCCATAATTATAATATTTTACAAAGGCCAAAATTAAAGCATATATTAATGTATTTAACAATGTTATGTGTTAAAAATGGTGAACGTTTGCATCTGTTACGATATATTTATACTTCAAAATTGTATTATTTGCAAATTAGAAATTAGAACATGTACCAGCTTGGTTGGGAAAAGGAGTTACCAAATCGATTAACAGCACCATTCTTTCTCACTTGGTAGATAGTGAACATCATATCAAAATAGAGATGCTTTCTCTGTTTTATATCAAGTTCCAAAATAGCTACCTCTTGTAGCCAAATTACGACTGCTTTACATAGCCGAAGCCATCTGGATCAACTCCAGAAGACCAAATTTATGTATCCAGAAAAAATATATCCAGTCTCTTTGTTTACCTTGGCCTACGACTGGATCACCGAATACCTAGACTGAATATTATAAACCTCTTACCCCCTTCCTTTACTTCCTTTATTTTGTTTATTTACCTTGTTGTCATTAATTTCGATTATCTCTATCTTAATCTTCACATCCATCATTCCCAATTCGTTTATCGTAATTACTTTGATAACACCCCCCTTATTACATGTTATATTCACACAACAATCTTATTATTATTATTATTATTATTATTATTATTATTATTATTATCTCAATTGACAAGATTAAATTCTTCTAGTATGCATTTTATTCACACAATTTTTTGCATTTTCAACTTTGCTATAATACTTAGTGTGACTGAACACTTTACTCCAAATCATCCTGACCTTTATTGAATAACCTTTCTAATTTGCAAATAATACAATTTTGAAGTATATATGTCGTAAACAGATGCAAACGTGGTGACATTTTTAACGTATAACATTGTCAAATTCATTAATACATGTCTTATTTTTGGCCTTTGTAAAATGTGAAAATAATTATGGACTTATAACTGTAGAGCCTGATGATGAAGTTATTGAAAACAATTGTTCGTTCAAATATTCTTCATTTTGAATATTTTATAGGGATTGTTGTAACGGGTGACTGCAGGTTTTGATAAGTAGCGTTTTATCGATCGATCACAGTGACACGTAAAACACGTACGAACAACCTAGTGCCCTGATTGGTCCCGCTTCCCTGTATAGCCCAGCCAGTTGAGTCAAGAACGCAAGTCACAGCCTCTGAGTTATGAATCATTGTATTTCAGACATACTCTATTTATATACTAACCAAAAAAACCACATCGTACCATAAAATAGAAAACAACATTTACACAATATTTAACAAGTGAAACAAACATCGACCAATGGGAAATGTCCATTTAACGTTCAAGGACACCATTCGACTTAACACGATAATTATCGGCATATTCCTCTGCATACCTAACAGGGATTTTTAATAATATATGCCCAATTCTCTCTTTAATGAAATTCTTCTAAGTTAGGGTTATTCAAACTTCTAATCAAAAATTATATCTTTATAATTATTCATTGGCTTTTAAGTTAAACTGTACACTCATCTAATAAAAAGTTGTGATATCTAAAAATGTTAAACTTTTTTTAATATATCAGCCTTTTTCTATGTTTAAACAACCCGGGTTTAATCTGTAAATAAACGGCCGTCCAGCGCTTTCATGTCTTCTATGGTGGTCTAGTTTCAATTGACTCATGAATTTAACTATAAAATTACTAAAATCTTCACAAAACGCCTTCTGACTATAAATAAAACTCAAAGAAGTGTAGCTTATTACTTACTTACACTTGTTACTCCTTGTGAAGGAGTATAGGCCTCTCACCAGCATTCTCCATCCAACCAAGTCCTGGGCAATTCTTTCCAGCTCTTTCCAGTTGTTATTCATCCTTTTCATATCTGATTTTATAATTAAAGGAAATTGAATAAAACTGTTATCATCAACCCTTCTTTAATCGCTAAGTAAACCAATTTGCATATATTCTTTCTTAGAAACGTAACTAAAATAAAATGTTTACTAAAATATTTTTTGATATTTCTTAACTTAATGCTTTATCGCACTAATACTTTTACAAACTATCAATAGTTAAATTATTATATAAATAACTCATTCATTATGCCTTCTGTTATTTTTAGGGAATCAATTATTCATTTAAGTCTTATGTTTTTTGGTTTAACTTCAATGGCAATTGTGTCATATGCAATGGATTGAATTGATAAATATTATGATCAGAATGAAAATAACAACAACAACCATGCTACATAATGATATATACACAGATTTGTAAAGAAAAAATGATCATCAATCGTTGAAAACAGAACACCTAAAAGATTATCTAATTTCTTATATCCGGTTGTCATTATACCCCGTTCTCATTCTCACCTGTTTGCCTTCTCTTATTTATCCAATTAATGTATATGTATAAACATAATATGTCTTATTGTTATGATAATGATGAGAAATCTAGAAAAGATCTCTATGAAACAATTACTCTCCATCATTCATCCTCTTTTTCTCGGTTATTTCACATTTTTCTCTATTGTGAGTTTCTTTCTTTCTTTTTCGATATATATATATATATATAATCTGATCTAATCATTGTTAAATCCAGTGATAATAATATACCATTATATGTCATGCATAGTTGATAGAAAAGAAGCAAAAATTTTCTTTTACAAAATCTTTTACTATATTAAATTTATTATTGAATATTGTACAAGTTGTATTGTTTTAAACAATAAACAAATATAATTTTAATTGTGTTGTATAGTGTAATAAGCTAAACTTGGATTATTATTATTATTATTATTATTATTATTACTAAGCGTATATTCTTTTGATTTCAAACCATCCAATGAGTACTTTTTATCCAATTTGACATTGATTATGTATCATTTACTTTATAATTTAATGATATTAATTAATATAAGAGTAATTATTCTTTATTATTAATTTTACATACTGGTGAGTAGTAACTGATGGAGAAGATTGAGAATGAATTGAATCTTTTTTTTTCTCTTTTTTTTTCTTTCACTATGAAATTAGTTGTTTGTAGAAAAACAACTTCAATTTTTCCACTTACTCTAATCTTCTCAATTTATCAGTTTTTTATGAAGTGTCAATGCCTGAAAGCTTAACATACTGTTGTTGTTAACTTAGAAATATGTGATTCGTTATTTTGCTTTTGTTTGTTCAGACAAGATAAAATAAACATCATAATCCTGAATGTGTACGATATGAACATGTGAAAAAAGAAAGATCCATTCAACTTGTACAAACAATTTAACAAACCTATTGCAGCATTAACATATTTTTTGTATGCTGATTAGTTGTCATCCAGGAGTTTATGAGAAAAAAAACTCATTAAATTTCACTCTTATTCTACGTTTCATTTGCCTTCGATAAAGTATACCATTTCTATTCAATTTAGATTGATTTGTTTGATCACAATACCTAATAATATGTTTAAAAGATTATATATATAGTAGTATCCCAATGAGTAGAAAATTGCATTACTAAGGTCTTGTAATTGAATGTAAATCATTTCTTCAAAATAAATTTTACTAATAACTAATTTTCAATATGACATTTTCTAAGTACATCTTTAAATAAAACCTGCTTTTGTTTGGAGGTTCGTGTTACTATCCGATTGCCTAAGCGAAAGTAGATGGAATAGGGTTCGAGTCTGAGGAATGATGATGATGATGGATTTAAAACAATCGACCCAGTTTTATAAATGGTTTATATGTCAGAAAACTGACACGGTTATAAATATGCTCAGTCATTTTAATACAAAATTTTAAATGGATACACTAAATTTCATTATCATTCTAATATACATCAAAATAACACTACAGGAAAATATTGATCATCATTTTACACAATAGTAATTTCCAAAACATCGGTACAATGAATTCACTACATAGCAAAGTAGACAGATAGTAAGCATAGTTCGATGAAATTTATTGTGCCCTTAGTAATATCAAACCGAAAAATCAATGAAATGTAAAGGTTTAAAAAGTTGCTTTTTTTCAATCTTTCTCTTAAGGACGAAAATATTGTTCAAAGGTCAACTGAATTCTCGCTTTATATTCTTACATGCATCTTGATATATAAATACATATTTTTTTTTACTATATTATCGTTTGTATTCTTATAGCATGTCAGATATCAGCTTTAAACTTTTTAAAAAAGTAAACACACTGTACCAAGTCTAATCATTGATTTGATTTCTTTTATAATGGATAAGAAAACTAGTATTTCCCGCTATGGTAATGTCACGTGTGGCAACTTAGGCAGATATATAATCATACTGCGTCCTAGATGCTGCGCAATAACTAACTATCTGGTTTGTATGTGTAAACATTTTTAGGTTTTCTTACTGATTATATCATATAAAGGATTTTTTTAACAACTGATTCAGAAAATTTCCTGTTTACCTGTAACTATCTCACTAGTCTCTGAACCTACGTTGACAACTAACTGACTGACTCTCTCAATGAGAATAACATCACTCGGATTTCTGTTTTATTATTTACTAGAGACGATAAATTATTTCCAGTGTTAAATAATATATTTCTAGTTTAATTTCCATCACGTAGTGATGTCAACTATAGAATTGTTCAAAATCAGGGATAACTTAGTAGGTATTTCGCACTCGTTTTACACCTCTTAAAGATGCATCATCATTATTCGATACAGGATCGAATGTGGAACTTTCGAGTCTCGTAGTAGGCATAATGCTTTTAGATATATTGCTGATTATTGTTCAGAATTGTTTCACGTCTATTCAAATGGATACCTCAGAACCAAGAAAAATCTCGACCAAACAACACTTTTCTCAATGTGTTTGCTTTCGCTTTCCTTTGATCATCTTGGTAATTAATGTGGTCATAAACAAAAGCATTAATTTCACTTATTAAGCATGATACTACCCAGTATACATGATATTTGTCCAGTCTCTTTTTGGCTTCAATGTTATTTCATTTTAAATGGATAATATTTTAGTAATTTATATTAGAATGCATACAACTAATCGATATGGTACTGTCATCTTTGCCATTTAGTTTCATACTGATTTATCTACTTCTAGTTTATGACAACCAATTACTTTCTTAACCATTTTAACTTTTTAGACTATATCCATATGATGGGTATTTTCTAAATATAACAATCCAAGGGAAATCGAAAAATAAGTAATTGTATTTTGAATTACAAAGTACTGAATCCAGTCATAATGTAAACATTAACAATGAGATGTACATGCATTCGACTGACCAGTCCCAAATGAGTCGAGATACACATATTAGACTCCCTTGTTTGTCACAGTCCGTTTGTCATATTCAATTCCTTATGTTTATCTTTCTAATACAAAATAATCATTATTATTTATAATGTCAAGTGACATTTTTCTTAGATTTATGTAAAATACTACAACGGTAATATAGATCTGTTTGATTGGTTTTCCATTAGTTAATCATTTCCAATGAATACTTGTTAGATTTTGTATTTCCATCATGAGATTTGTATCCCTTTCCAAAGAAAATCGATTTTAAATTGTTTAGCAATAATATCAAAGATATCAAATATGTTTGGAGCCTTTTTCATTTTTTTTAGATAATTGTTTAAAGCTAGACCACCATGGAAAAACTGAGAGCACTAGCCGGTCTATTGGTATCGCTCACGAACATTTAACCTTTAGACAACTGAGCTGGCATCCAACGGTGTTAATGTCTACCTTCAACCAACCCACGAAATTGCACCAACGTCCATCATTGTTTTCAGTGAGTTACTATCTCATAACAGACCTGGTTGAACTCCACTGGTCACTACTTCTCACTAGAACTTCAGGAAATACCTTTTGAAGCTAATCACTAGTGAGCACATGATGATTCCGACATAACAAATAATCATTTTAAATAAATTTGTTAAAGTTAAATGATGAACTACATAATTTTCTTTATAAATAAATAAGGTCACATTAAAACTTGGTCGATAGAATTCAATCTGTACTAAGGAGGACCTAACACACTTGACATTGATTACTACCCAATGATCAATTAATTGTAAAAACATATATGTACATCGGTTCAAGTTGTCATACAACATTATTACAACGAGATAAAATTATCAAGATGAATCCTCAAAAAAACAAGTGATAACATAATCTAGATTTTAAAAAGGGATAAAGAATGAATAGATTTGGTGCATTGTAACCGATTCCTAGGCATGTCATCCAGCATCTTCAACCATTGATTGAGATTATCATATGAATAAAGCTTTCAGTTTTTAAAAATTCATTTGAAAATAAACATTAACATGTTAAATAAACAAGACTGTAGTTTGAAATAATCCGTATATGTTGTTGACAATAATTAACAAATCCAAAGGTCATTATTACTAAGAATAAGATAAAATGTGTTCGAGTTACGCATTTTTACCAACGAAAATCTCAAAGGTAAACTACCTAATAATATTACCGTATAATTCATTTATTATTTCAATTGAGATCATATAAGTAGAGAGAAGAATTCATCTACATATATGACTGGTTACTGTATGAAGTCAGTCAATCAGCTACAACGTAGGACCAGGAACATATATGCATCGGTCCAAGTTGCCATACCTCATTAACACAACAAGATGGGCACCGGATTCATAAAAGTAGTTAATTCAGAGGTGGTAGTATATAAAAGAAAGATTGCATACAAGGATATAGTACAGGAAAAAAGAATTAGTTCGTAGAAAGAAAGATATGAAGCGATTTTAATCCCTTAGTTTAAGGGAAGAAAGAGAGTGTATACACCGACGCCATTGTGATCGATTCAGAGTCATGTCACCAAGGGTCTCCAAACATTGGTTACGATAGTCACGTGGACCCCAACCGAGTAGTCTGCGTCTACCAACATGGCTCAGACTAGAAGTTAGTGACTTCAAGCACTGATGCCACGTTTTGGTTTGGCCGCCCCTAACCTTCTTCCAACCATCTCCAATACCGGTTAGCATTGCACGTCGTGGTAATCGGTGTTCAGGCATACGTAACACGTGGCCCAACCATCTCAGTCGATGAAGATTCATAACCTCATCAACTGATTTACCATCATTCCCTAATACCCTGCCTCTAACCTCATTATTACTTACCCGGTGATCACAGCACATGCCAGCAATATTTCTAAGGCATCTGTGGTCAAATACTAGTAGCTTACGGGTGTCTTCTACTCTTAAAGGCCATGTTTCGCTGCCGTAAAGTATAACAGAACGAACTGCCGCGCAGTATACTCGTCCTTTTATTGCTAGACGGATATCTCGCCTCCGCCAAAGGTGACGTAAGTTGGCAAAAGCTAAACGAGCTTTTCGAATCCGTGCTGAGATTTCGTCAGACACCAACTCATTAGGGCTGATCAGACCTCCAAGATAAGTGAAGTTGTCGACACGTTCGACTACTTCACTCCCTATCCTTAGTTCAGGTGTTGACACAGGCCAGTCTTGAAGCAGCAGCTTGCATTTAGACGGAGAGAAGCGCATTCCAAACATTCTGGCCACTGTAGGAAGTACATTTTTTCTAATGTTGTACATATTCTGTTTATATTTAAACATTATTAAAATAGAACAA